ATCGAGCAATTGCAATATGCCAATTTTCAGTTGAGCGCTATGCTTCAAATTTGTGCAACTCATTTGTTGAAAACACAAGCGGCTTTATCGCGCTGATTTTCGTTGTCAGTATACAAACGCTATTACAGAGTGAGTACAACAAGCGCAATAAGTGACAACAAAGTTCGCACGACTACCTCCCGAAAAGGGGAATTAAAGCATGAAATCGCAACGGAAAACGCCAAACTCAAGAATGTCAGCAGGTTTTTAATTTCTCGCGAATGAGTATTGTTTTGGGAGATATCCCGCAGACCCGGCTCACATCAAGGTCATATCGATGAATTCCCACCGTTTAGCTGTATAAAAACGCGGCATCGCACTAAGCGACCGTACAATGTTGCAGTAGTGCTGTGGAATTTAGTGCAGACACAGAATTCATTGGGAGAGATCAATTGCTGTGGGTAAGCCTTGCGCGATGCGCAAGCGCCAGTCGCGTAAAAAAAACGTGACGTCATGCGCGTAAGCAGGTAAACAGTTTGTTTATAAATCGAAATTCTGGAAGGGGTTATCGGTTTACTTGTCTGGGTAACCGTTGCGCTTCGATGTCGAAGAGCAACCATTACCCAAGCTTCCTTCCCTGCCCAGATCAAAAAACATTTTTTGTGTTTGGAACGAAAACTCATACCGTGACACAGATACAAACGTTTAAACTAAAAATTAATTTTTTGAGGTGAAAACACAGTTGCCACATTCGAGCACTGGTAAAAATGACTTTTGAGTTTCGCTTTGCTGTTCAATTGCTTTTCTGGCACGCAAGCGTACTCGTCTCGAGGTTCGCTGATAAGTTTTTCGCTGACTCATGGACAACTTTTAACGCGTTTCTTCGGTACCCGGCGCGCAAAGGTTATCAAAATGCAATAGATTAATTTCACGGTGGCGTAGTGCCCCCTGTGACGTAGATGGGTGAGACGTACCGCGAATTTACATGAGCCGAAGAGGTTTTACAGCTTCTTATCAGTCAGTCGGCTTGGAAGAGTTGGAAGCACCCGAACCGCTCATTAATTAAAGGCTGCTTTATTTATAGAGTATTTTTGGTTTCTTAGACGATGCGGCGTTAAGAAGCTATTCCTTGTTTAAGCTCCATTATGGGCCCACGGGGTGGACGGGAAATTCGACACCGAACCTGAATTGAACAGAACTTCTGCTCAACCTCTCAAATTTAACTGGCTGTTTTCAACCAATTGGAAACTCCGCGGACGATTTGATTGGTCGCCCAATCAATACGCCAGAGGCAGGATGAAATTCATCTATTGACCTCTGCCATTATTTAGCTTGCTCATTAATCCTGCGCCGTGCCGGTGGCATCATCGACATGGTACTACTTATAAATACTTTTGAATCTGAGCTAATTTATCGGACTGCTTGTTCTGTTTAGTTTAACTGCTATTCGTATCGGTCAGTCGGTATTTAATACATGCTAAGAGTACAGTACTACGGCCAATAAAATACAAACCTTCGGTTAATGGACTTTGATAGGAGATACTGTTGCACAAAGTTTTGACTGGTGATTACAGTAGTGTGCAGTAATCAACAATCATGAATATTTACTAACAAGCATATACCTTTCCTTTGCACTCTGCGAGTCTGCGTTAACACCACCAAGAAATTAATATTTTACTCACGCACCAAATATGCAGAAGCATCGTAAAAACATGTTATAATTATCAAACCGTGTCCGACTCACCTCTGAATTTTACAGCAACACAAAATTGTTACCCGTACTGTCCTGTACTAATCGGCGAATCGCGTACATTTTTATTAGCACAAGCCAGTCAGGGAAAATGTTTTGCAACAAAAACAACAAAATATTTACCACAGCAAATTTTCTTTTAAATTATCCGTTCCATCCATGGTCCCAAGAAAGGAAGCTGCATTCCCCCCGCTAAATTTTGATCGACAGGCGCTGGCGCAGAAACTCGTGAGAGCGCGGTTCGCCAGTGTGCTACCGTAACCGCTTACCGATTTCCTTCACTAAAAGTGATGCCGACTTGGTAAAGGGCTAAGCTTGATGAGCTCGGGTGATTCATTCGACCCCCGACATGCAACAAAACCACCGAACCTTAGCGGCGGGTACGGTAGCCCAATTTGGCAACGACGAACCTCGGGTCGGACGCTCTGAGAACCGACCCGAAACGCGCAGCTCCAATAGTGCGCCCGGGCCAAAAGGTGCATCCGGAAGGTCGCCGTTAATTATCTTAATGCAAAATAACTGTTAGCTGGACATTTTGAGGTCTTGGGTGTAGCCTGCAGGAAGGTTGACGGGTTGATGGTCATTAAAGGCCATCAACCTTTCTCAAAAGGTCAGCCATTGGTTCTCGATGCTTCCCGATCTTTAAACAATTTTCTAGAACGAGTAGCTACTTACATTCTATAGTCTACACGCGACACGCCATGCCAGTTATGTCACACATCGTCAACCTAACAAAACAACCAGAGTCTCACAACACTGACCACAACATCAGACTACATGATATACGACTGGCTTGCATGGGTGAGCTGAACGTGAACTGAACGTACACATTTCAGCTTACCAATTAGAGCGAAGAGTGCAGACCGCCACAAATTCTTTTGTTTACACAGAAATTTTTGGGTACCGATCACTTCGGCCGTTTTCATTTCGGCCAGAGTTTTTCGCCCGTTGTTCACGTATACCGCATATAGCTATGCTAGTCACGATTCGGCTGTCGCCTGGAATCTGCCACAAAATTTTGGCGGTCTCCAGCCTAATTGGTGAGATTAAACGTATGCGCTCAGCACAGCTCATGCAAGCCAGTTGGCTTGAACCGGTAAAGTCAAAAGTGGCACTATGTTTTCGCGCTATGTTTTTCCGGCACACCGACAATTTGCTGACCACTTCTTGCTGACCGAAAAAAATGTTATCTGACAATTTGTTGATGCGGCAACTCGATCATTGAAAGATTGCTGAACGAGTGTTTGCTAACATCGACGTTTCGCTGACAACATTCTGATGAAAACAACAGCTTTCCAAAACACACTAAAGAAGAGACAGCTTAAGAAAACCAAAGAAGCTAAAGAAACCTAAGAAAACCTAACAAGTAAGACAATCTAGAAAACCTAAACAAACTTAAGAGAACGATGTTCAGTTTAAAAAAATTAGCATATTAGGAGAAAAGAATTGGAAAATGTAGGAAAACCATGAAAAGCACCTGAATGCTGCAAAACCAAGGAACCAGACCGATCAGCAAGGTCCGAAAAATGGTTTTTGCAGGAAGTCGGGCAACGAAATTAGAGAAAACCGAACCGTCGGGATCAGAAATGTGCCGATCAGCAAATTGTGATAATCAGCAATATGGCGGGAAGCAAATTATATGGAAGCAAAACACGTCAGAGAATTGACGTGTGTAACCGACCGAAACGTCCGGACGACCAAGACGTCCGGCGGACGTTTTAGTCGTTAAACCGACCAAACCGTCCGGGGGCCCAAAAAACCTCCGCCGTATATTTTGCCCACTCGAAAAGTTTTGCATTCTCGATGTAACCTGAAGTTCCTGAGAGCGTCTCATCCCGGACACTTTGGTCGGAGCACTATTTGGAGCCGGACACTTTGGTCGGAGCACCGACCAAAGTGTCCGGCTCCAAATAGTGCTCCGACCAAAGTGCCCGGGCTGAAATAGTGCTCCGACCAAAGTGTCCGGGTCCAAATAATGCTCCGACCAAAGTGCCCGGGCTGAAATAGTGCTCCGACCAAAGTGTCCGGCTCCAAATAGTGCTCCGACCAAAGTGTCCGGGATGAGACGCTCTCAGGAACTTCAGGTTACATCGAGAATGCAAAACTTTTCGAGTGGGCAAAATTTACGGCGGACGTTTTTTTGGCCCCCGGACGGTTTGGTCGGTTTAACGACTAAAACGTCCGCCGGACGTCTTGGTCGTCCGGACGTTTTGGTCGGTTACAGACGTGCTACCGTTTTTTTCGTAACTGCAAACTGTCGCACCTTTTTTTCCATGCCGCCAAATATTACACAAATCGGTGGCGAAAGACTTGAAACACTGCGGATAAAATTTTTTAAAACTTGTCTGCACACAGCATAACAAGACGCCAACGCCAACGCAAAGAGACACTTTCTCATGTACACACCCCTTGTCAGGCTATATTATAAGTACTCTAACTCAGCCCATTGCCCAATTAAACGTTACCTTTGCAAAGACTGATTCTCAAATCTTCCCGTTCTTTCAAAAATTTGCTAGAGTTAATGGTCTACAGTCCATACACATTTTTCCTACATGTCAGTGATGTCACACACCGCCATTCTAGCAAAACAAGTCAGCGTCACTGCCGCCGCCGTCACACCCCACTGACCAGTAATCGCTACATCAGTGATCAAACTACATACATACAACACGACGAGATTTATGCGACGAATGGTTCGGTCAAGGCACTCACGACACAGCCGTGTTATATTGAAAAGAGAAAGCAAGTGCGGTGGCGTGAATCGTCACAAGCTATTTAACATGTCAGGCAGATGGATTATTTACATTAAATGCACTATTGCAGGCCCCATTTCCTAACGCCGTATATAATTATGTTCATGGTCTATATTATTTTTTGCTACAGTTGTGTGTCTTCTTCTCAAATGTGCATAATAGCGTATACTGCATAGTTGGTTCTTAGTTCAAAGTTTTTCAAACAGGATCTGAACTAGGGAAAAGTTAACAATAATGATTGTTTGAACTTTGATCCGATAAAGCTATCGCATGATCTCTGTTATGAAAAACGGCCAAAACTGTCTACTAAAGCCTTTGTAATCTTTCATGTGGTAATTTTTTGTAGCTTGCAAAAAAATCCAACAGCTGGTCTTCTGATACAATCAAATGTCTGATACTTCTGATAACAAGCACACTTACAAAAAATATCATGTTCGTTAGCACGGTGTACCTGTTTGCTGTTAACGCCAACTCTTGGTCGACTTGCAATCAACTACGAGCATTAAATTGTGGTAAATCTGTAAAATCATGAAATTTTGTCGTTGCTAAGGAGACGCCTCTGTTGACCTTTTAATCAAGCAGTTTACCGCAAAGTTTGGTTAGCCTGACTTCGGCGCACAAAATAACTCATACGTACATTTATTCACTAGAGTAAGCAGTCTACTTACAAGTCTAGAATGATTTTATCGATCTGGCCTCTTCCTTTATTCACAATGCATATACTGTTCCCGCTGCTTTGTTTGCTTATATCATTCCGGAATAATGCCAGCACATGTCCGGTGCAAAAAGGATTTAGTCGTGAATTCAGTAAGTGCTGGTATAATTGTCATGTTCACAGTCCTTAAAGCCAATGGGGCCGCGGTTTTAGGAGCTTTACCGGGAAATAAAGTTGTTGATAATAGTGATTTTGGTTGTTTTTTTTAATTCTTGATGGTGCTATACTGGCCGTAGTGGAATGACTGATTGTTATGTCGCTGAGCAAACTTAAATAAAACGCTTATGTCCCGTCCACGCCCGTCCCGTGTCTATTCATTTTGTCCACCGTTCATTTTGTCCACCATTCATTTTGTCCACCGTTCATTTTGTCCACCATTCATTTTGTCCACCGTACACCGAGTTCACGATACAATTCGAAAGTACGGTATTTTTATTTTTTATAAAACAAAGCTAGTACGAATGTAATAAACTCGTAAAGTAATCCGATAAGTATTACGTACTATGAGAACGTGTACAAGCCTGCCGACAAATTGAGCACTCGTAAGAACAGCGAACATTATAAATTTACGGATTGCGCGTAAATCCGTACTACGGCGCGCCACGCCACACTGTTTAAACGCGTAACATGCATTTGGCTGGCTGGTGGCTTGGGACGCACCAGATAATTTAATGGGAATAATTGTAACTGCCTGGCGAATGTGGCTAGAAAACGGTCGGTGCAGTAAGGGACAATCTAACTGCGGAACGCAGTTACGCATCGCGATATGCGTAATGCAGTGGTCACAATTCAAGAGCTAACTCCGCGCCAATATCTCTCTACCTGTTCCTTTACGTGCTCAAATTGTCGACAGGCTTTTACACACATAATCACATTCAAAACTATGATTTCAGTTTATATGGCAGATATTGCAATCTTTTGTTGCAAAATTCTGCGACAATAGCGAGTGCGATAATTTGCAAGTAATACTGCTGCTATGCCTAGTTCTGCGCAGCTGTTATAATATTATGCGTTTCGAAATGAAATTCAGCGGGTAAACAAGCAAACGGTAAGCAAGCGATCGATTTATGCACATAATACAGCACGCATCTATGCTGCTTACATCTTACGCCCAGACCGTGTGTATTGTTTGTTTTTTTATAACTAATATTAAATCAATTTTGGTAAATGGTAATATTGTATTTATTATAAATTTAAAAAGCGTAGACCAAATGAATGGTGGACAAAATGAATGGTGGACAAAATAAAAGGACGCCGCTCGTCCTTGCCCATGTAGGTAATCGTAAACTTGAGCAGTTTTGCGAAATTATGAATGTTTCTATAAGTCGTTTTGTTTTTCTTCTTGTCCTTTTCTACCATACTGTTTTATTGCAAATCTAACAATATCAAATCCGGAATCTCCTGTATGTCAGTAAACAGCCAAGCCGTGATCAAGGTTATGAGGTAGCGGTTATTTTAGATGCTAACTGGTAACCCTTCAAAAATTTACCAACCGATGTCTTTTCCCGAGTTTTTTCAAAACCATTGCGTGACCCAAAAGATATTCGATATGATTTAGCAGAAAATTATGCGCGAGCCGTACTTGAGGTGACCCCGACCTTAGAAGGATTACTGAGACGGCGAAACGTGTATTAGTTGCAAGTCGGAAGTCGATCGAACCCCTTCAGCGGTGGCAATAGTAAGAGAGCACAAACGGTGCACAATAACAAAACAAAAGCTAGGAAGGGGTCTGTGTCTGTATACATCTGACAAGTTTCTGCTTCCGATTCCATGATTCCATCATTCAAAGCCAGTGAAACCGTAAATTAAGTTAGGCGTATGAATACAACTGAAATCAGCCGGCGCTTATAGCAGCTGGTAAGCTTTTGTTCTCTGTTAAAAAATTCCTGTGTAAAAAACAGAAGACTTTGGCGGTGGCTTAGTGTAAATGGTCAGTCCTAATGTAAGACCACTTTGCATACTTGTTTGTTCGTTTAATGAGCTACAACGATCAGGTGAAACCTGCACGTGGTTGCAGACTAACAATCAAGATCAGCTGCCACAGTAAAGACTATGAGGTATCGCATCGAAAAATCTTCGAGGTATCGCATTCATAACAAGTCCACACATAAGTACAAGTATACAAGTACTTCATACTTCTACCTGTATATACACAATGTAAACATGAAAAAAAGAGACCAAAAATCAGTCCACCCATTCTCGGACACAAACTTTGCAAGGCAAAATTTCAGGTTGCAGAATTTTGTCAGCGTCGTCCTTGAATATGCCAATTCGCGCAAACGTAAATGGTACGCTTGTCTCCTCGAGGAAAAATGAACGCACTTACAAATCGGGTTGGAATCCCTTCACTGTTTATTCGCTGGCGATAAACTCGTTATATTCCTTCACATTAGCAAACACTGAATTTTCCAGGCGAGGCATGTCTCGTACCCAAACCTCGCGTGGGTTGTACTGGTGTTTGACGATAGTTTGTTTTCGCTAAAGTGGTCATGACCCATGTGTGACATTTGAAGCGGCAATTCCTGCTGTCTGTAGGCAGTTATAAGTCAAGCTACAAGTGAGTACATGAACTTATTCCAAATCAGTGTTGTTCAAAAGCCGTGAAGATTATAAAATTATTGACCTGCAGGTTGAGTTCCATGGGATGGAATCAATAAGTCGCTCTCTTTGTTTTGTACTTTTGGAATTTGTTTCGTTGGGCGTAAAAGACAGACTGCAATGCCTATACATTTTTGCAGTTTTCATCTAATCTAACTTTCGAGACATATGCTAAGCGGACATAAGGTATCAAAAAAAGTGATACCACGACTGAGGCACTTGGCTAAAAGCCGAAAAGGCCGGAACACTTAGTAAACAAAAGTTTATGGAAATCGACAGAAATGGGTGAATCCTTAAAGACTGAAGACTTATCAAGTGCAGAACTTCAGTACAGTATTGTACTTGCAGAGGAACTAAGGACCTGAATTTATTACAAAACTAAATTTTACTGGAAGATGAAGTTGTTAACAACCCCAGTATTTTGAAAACGATAATATAATTATGAACTACTCTAAAAACCTACTAATACAACGCATTACTAGAAATTGTAAACCGTTCATGGTGCTTTATGACACCCTGCCGTGCTGCAGCGACAGCAGCGTTCAATCCTTCACGATTCACGAATGCTCTCTACATCCATAATGGCCAGAAGTCCACAATATACAATTATTTAGTGTCGCGGCATATCGGCGTCAAACATAACGATTGTATACAACAGCAGCTACAGCTTAACTTATTCTTTCGTAAAACATAAGAAAACATAAAGACACATTTCGTTTTCATGTACGTACTTACCGAAGCCCAAGAGGTCACGCCCTAGGTACGAGTACTAGATGGAGACCGGAAAGAGTTTACTGTCTGGATATGACCATTCATTAATAATCAATGAAAATATTTACAAGTAAATTTTTGTAAACCTGCGACGACTAATGTAGACGAGATTTTTTATTCGGCCGCCTTTTGAGTTCTTAAATGTCTATGCTGCTTCTTAAACCTAATTTTTACCCATGGCCGTTACTCTTAGCGAATTTTCGGGATATTGTGCCTGTATAAAAAAGTGTTTAAAAAATTCTTATATTTTATTGGGTATAATTATAATAAAGCGCTGGGTGTCTGTTCCGCAACTTTTTAACAGCTGCTGTTCCTATTTATGACTTATGAGTCACATTATGGTTTTTGGCTCATAAATGTTACAAGCCGACGAGCGGAATTCTAATTCTAATTTTAAAGACTAATTAGAATACAAATAAACGACTTAATTTCATATTCATTAGGCAGGCCATTAAGCGGCACGCGTGCCCACAAACGTGAATATCCCCACCCGGCACCCATGTTCACGATCGTAATGCAGTAATGCGAGCCCCATGCATGCAGCCATGGAGAGTAGCAGCGCTTCTGATCTGCATACGAGAGCGGTTGATGTTAGCGCCTTGCGGTATCCGGTTACCGCACAGTTTTACAACGTAAGCATCCCTGCCCGGCATCCGCGCGCAAAAAATAAATAGGATGTAAAAATGGCAAAGTAGGCCCAATGTTTGGAAGTATCAAAAAATATCAGTTATCAAAATATTAGAAATAAATATCAGAAATAAGACCAATATTACAAAATATGAAAGCAAGCATATACCTAACCATATTCCTGACCGGCACCGGCACTGTTCACGAGTGGCAAATGTGGGCTAAAATAATCCGATTTACTGTACGGATCTTACCTGCATGTGTGAGCACTTTAGCCCGGCAACCATGTTCACAAATGCGACGCAGAATTTTGATAGTAACTGTCGTAGTATTACAATAAAGTTATAACAATCAGTAAAACCGCATTATGATGTCAAACATATATAGGGGAATTATATATATAGAGCAGTGCAGTGCAAACAAATGTAGAGCAGTGCAAATCCTTTTCTACTGAAAAAGTAAGCGTAAACTGTAACATCACCTGAAACGGTGAATAATGATCACAGCGCACTTCATAAAGTTGTTAATAACTTAAATCCAAAGCCGTAGAGTGCTATATAACTATGTGTGGATATTGTGGATCATCTTCTTGATGTTCACAGATAAACGTTTTGAATAAACTTCTGAATAAACATTTTGAAGTCAACAGAATGATAAAAGTTTTCAACGAGTTGGTAAGTTAATCTGGCCTTGTACAAATTGTTCGATAACGTAATAACGTACGAAGCGGTAGGTGCACTGCCACAGGCTACACCCGCCGCTACAGCACAGTGTAGAATTTTTTGTTAAATTCTGTTTTGGCCACGCCCATTGACCATGGCAGATGGAATAATATTTTAAACATACTACGGTAGCATATTATCTTTTTACAAGAGATGAGATCTTTTTGAATTTACTCCCGGAAAATGTGCCCTGGTCAGTACACCCACTCCCTTACAAACACATTTGTCGGCCAAATCTCAAGTTCCAAAACCTTTTTCGCTATGTCTTAAACGTACCAATGCGGGCAAACGTGGAAGATCGTCGATCACCACGAGCAGGAACGTATACACTTACAAATCTTGTGAGAATTCCTTCATGTTCCAGCTGTTTGGCA